ATATGACGGAAGCTTCGGCGCATAGTACGGGTAGACTTCGCAGCCATTAGTTGCGAGTGAAAATGGTGAGCAACCTCACTTAGGATGAGATCAGCAAATTGCTTGACTATTATAAAATATCGCTGTATTATATTGTCAGCTGAAAAAAAACAGAGGAAACACCGGCAGATGAAGAGAGTATTCGGAGGATGCGTTTAAGAATGACGAGGTCTTTTAAGGTAAGGCTGAAGAGCAGTGAAGCATGAGGTGGAGAATACAGGCATCAATATATCAGCAGATCAGGGCTTGCGTTGTGTGATACGAACGCAAACGGCGGATATAGTGTAAGTGTTTACGGATTTTAATATAGAGGCCTAAAATAGGAAGAGTAAATGAGAAGTAAGATGCCAGAGTAACACCAAGTTACCGGAAAGGGGATATATCTTTAGACAGAATGTCGATGTTTTTAGGACTGGTAGGGGGTCGCCGTCAAAAATAACACTGGACAGACTTCCGCTCGTTAAGAAAAAAGCCATTTGCTAACGACCATGCTGAGACGTGGTCCAGGCCATCCTTCAGTACTTGAAGATTAATCTGACTTTTGAGAGGAGGGCCAACAACCATATCATCAGCATATTTAGCGTACGAACGTTCATCCGGCGATCGTAGGTCGTTAATTTGGAGAGAGTATAGGTGGGGGCATAATATGGACTCTTAGAGAACTCCAGAGTTGTTGGGAAGGACCGTGGATTTTTGCTTTCCGCACTGAACGAATTGAGTGTGGTAGGCAAAACAGTCCCAATATCAGGAGACAGCCCAGCCGTGAGAGCCGAACGCCAAAGTTTTCTTAAGAAGAAGATGGCGCGGGATTGTAATAAAAACTGAGGAATGGTCGAGAAAAGTATATGGGTATGCGCAGCAGCCCTTACGTAAGTCTCTAAGAGCAGAATGGACTACGAGAATATCTTTGTTTGGTGACCTTCGCCCAGCCCTATACGCAAATTGCAGGGGAGCGGAAAAATTTGAGGAAAACGGCTTAATTATGTCCAAAGCAACTCTCTCGGCAAGTTTTAATAGTGCAGAATAGAGACAGTGGGACAAAAGGATTTGGCACCAGAAGAAAAGGGTTTTTCGGGATGGGAGTGATCCTCACTGATCGCCAATCACCCGGAATCTTAGACTCCATGAAGAACAAGTTGACGACGTGTGTCAATGCAGGAGCTAACTGAAAAGAGCAGGAATTTAGGATAAAGGCTGAGATTTAAACTGGCCCGGCAGTTGTAAAACTTCGAACCTTTTTAAGATGTTTCATCGTTGTTGCCACAGACATAGGAGCAAAGACACTTGGTAATAAGGAAACAGCATTTGTCGGAAGATGACCTTCGGTGGGAGTCTGGATGAATTTTGCACTTTAACGATCTAAGTATAAGCCAGCATCAACATACGCTAGTGCATTACATTGACCAGTGAGACGCTTAAGGCTCTTCCAGCTTCCATCCGAGGAGAGAGGAGACAAATATATAAAGGGAAATGAAAGCTGACAAACAAAAAGATTATTCTACCTGGAAATCTCATGCTTTATAAGAACGTTTACATCCATCTGCTTTTCACGTAGACCTAGTTTTCAGAATAGTTCCTTTTCTCTTCTCAAAGCTCTTAGAGAGGGTGGAGAAAATATGTCGGGTCTAACCATAACAGTGTTAAGAGGACAGTAGATAGTATATAATTTACGATTTTATTTAGTCGTTAGTAAGCACATACGTAATCAAATCAAATGGTAAAATCATTTACCTTAATGGGACAGTTGGCGTTAGATGTTGAAGGCTACTACATTCGCATAATTCCCTTATGAGGCAGTGAAACTCTCCCTTTTATGGCATCTTTTCGCCTGGTCATTTCTACTATTTCTTTATCTAGGTCTAAATTATTCGCTGAATTAAAACACTGTTTATTCGTTCCTTTTACATAAACTGTCATCAACAGTAATCTGGTAGCTTCAACGAGACAGATCCCGCATTCAACATACATACATTCCCACTGCAACATATCCGCAAACTTCTTCTTCGCGTGCACAAATAGGAAACAGTAATCCTATTAGATCGGTTGGGGCGGGGGGGGACTGTGACTGTTGATTCACTGCTCAATCACCTACACATACACTGAGTGTGCACGCTGATTCATTTTGCGTTGTTAAGCAAAACATTTTCTCAAGGTCATTCAGGCACGCTTTTACTACTCAAAATCTGACTGCTGGAAAAACCCGTCGTGTACAAACTGTGTCCGGCTCTGGGCCTGCGTGTGGACAGCGATCGATATCATCTCGCATGCAGGTCCGCACGCACTCATGCTGAAGTATTATGCACTAGGCATGCACGCAGACAACTAGTAAGGAGATGGTAGGGCCTGCATCGTCTCATCTTTTCTTGCAATTGCTTGCCCGGAACTCCGCTCTTGAGTGCAAACCCGGATAGCAAAATTTTATTTTAATTAATTAATGCTATGTTGCTGGTATTCTGTTATTTCTGGCGCAACAAAATACTTTAGTGATGTCAGTAGGATAAGACCGACATTAAATCTGTAGACTCGGGTCAAAGTCCGTCAGAGGACGGAAAATTGTGTTTTGTATTCCTGAAATCGATGTTAATGCAAATATGAGAATATGCCTTATTTTCGGGAAAAGCAGTGCGGACTGAAACGTTCTCTTTTGTAAATCTGGTACATTTAGTTTCATAAAATTAGGTAATACACTTGTGGAGGTGTAGGACTGAGGTAAAGCGCAGATACAAAGGCCCGCGAAATGCCATCTGTTTTCTCTCTCATGTCGTATGCGAAAGATCTTCGAAAATTTTGTGATTATCGAAGGGGAGTAATAAATAGTAAACGTGAAACAGAACGGGCAGACGTTTATGAGTGTTTACAAAATCTTATTATGCATTCTTCAACTACGTTATGCCTTCGTAACGAGTGCACGAGAACGGATATTTCGGAAAATGCTCCAGAAACGTGTGCTCTTTCATCTTCCGAAAAATTTTTCACAGTACTTTTGGTGGATTCCATACAAGCGGTACAGTTGGGCGGGTAATATCGACCCGGGTGTGATCGAATTCATGGCGGCAGGTGAGGCGTCTGTAGCTCAGGGGTTATAGCGTTGGCTTCTGGTAAAGGCTTTCTTTACTACGCGGGATCAACTCCCGCCGAAAGCCTCGAGTTTTTCACAATTGGGTCAACTAGACATCCGAAAAAAGTGAAAAAACTGTCAGATCTTGCTATTTGTCTCTTGGCTTAGCTTCCGAAAACGGTAGTAAACCCAGATATTGGACGTCGAAAACCCTACATCAGTGGCTCCCCCATGAGTTATCTTGTGATAGAAGGATTATCTTCTTAATTTTAGGCACATTAATTTGCAGATTCTCTCGTGAACCTGTTTAAGTTATTCTAAAACCACGATCAAAACAGTCAGCTGTCTAAGAAGGAATGTCCAAAACTCCGTATTTACCTTAATGCTTTTTAAGAAATATCTCATTTTGAATGCTGTAGTAAATATTTAGCCTCAAGTCTGTATTGATGGCCAATCAATTGAAAATACTGCAAAATGGTTTATTGTTAACCCAAATTTCTATAAATACCTGAATCACGTCGTAAGCAAACTCTCGAGCCCATTTCAAGGACGTGTGACGGAACTGTACAAGAAATGATACGCATTTGATAATATGTGCAAATATAAGCTAGCCTTATAGGAAACAGCTACCATCTCCACTTGTGGCTTGCAATCCGCATTATTCCTCCTGAACCCTCCTTCCTATGTATCCAAAACTTTCTGGCAGGACGGTCCCAAAGAGTATCCGTCGGTCGCCAGCGGTCCTCGAGAGTACCTGGAGTGATTAGCGTCCCACAGGGCTCAGTTTTAGGTCCACATTATTCCTTGCTTTCATCAACGACTGGGTCAGGGGCCTAGACTGTGATGTCCCCTTTTTCGAATATTTTGATTACCTAACAATTGTTGTGTTTTTACCAGCAACATTTAATTGCCATTCTTTTTTTAAAATCTATCGTGGTATCCCTATATTTCCTATAACCCTGTTACCAATAGAGCGTTCAAATGCGTTCTTTCATCTTTCCCTCAACAAACTGATACTGATACTGAACAGTCTGGATCGGAATCTTATACAAAATCTTATTGCAATTATCGAAATAAATTAGCGAAAGGCAATAAAGAATCTTTCTATAGCAGCAAAACTTGATTTTGTACTGAATAATCACTTTGAGCAAAACTCTATGTATGCCATCTGTCTGTCTCCATATCTGGCGGACTTCATATCGTTTTAAATGTACATAGGCAGTTCAAAGGGTACTGATATTTGCCATTTGTACTGATTATTTATTAATTTACGGTTGTTGGCACTGCCCTACCTTAAGCACACTTACATATAACATTAAATAAATGATCTGTAATCTAGCCCATAACTTAATTTAGATTTTAAAAAATTAACTACTTTTATTTTATCTTAGACTAATTTTTCAACGAACCGATGGCTTCTTTTACTTATGGTGGTTCAGTTACTGTTGTAAAACGTGGGAGGACTCACCATGTACCTATTTCGAACAACGTAAAGTTTCTTGTCTGTACCTCGATATTTCGTCAGATAAATCATTACATGTAATCGTGCAAATCGTTGCTTTTGCCGAAGTTAGACTGTGCTTCAAACGATAAAAGTAATCGAGTTGTAAGATAAGGGCTAATACCAACGCCCCGTACAGCCCAGACATGTACGACGTTCATACAACCTCCCATGCTCAGCTTCGCATTTACCAGGTACATCACTTAATAAAGTAGTGAATCTCCTGTCCCCATAGGAAATGAGAAGAAAGTAGGGTACCCACAATTTATTATGGACGGTGGTCAAACTTAAACAGGTAAAAGAGAAAACACATGAACTCGGATTAGATGATTCCTATAATCACTGACACTAAAGGTTCTTAAAATCGATGATGTCGACCATGTCGTTTCTTTTCGCATTTCTTTTGACATTTTTGCAGGGATCTAAACCTGTTTTTGTTGCCACCGCAACCACCGTAGAAGAATTTCTCACAGCGACGTGTTTTACTGCTGTAGCCATACACTGCAACATAAGCCTTGCACCTTCCTTGATCGATTTTCTGTTTGCAAGTACGCTTTCCTTATGGCAAAAAGTGAAAGAAAAAACAACCGTAATGCAACTTAAACTTAAAACAGTAAACAACTATACACAAAAACTTAGATTATATTTTGCATTTTGTTTAATTAACGCTTGACAACATCAAATGGCATTGTCATGTGGAGACATTTGTGTCATCAAGAAAATCACCCAACTTTAGGTTGGAGGTTGTCCCAGTTATATTTTTTTCGGTAGGATAGTGGTAGCAGGCTTGGTGTTAGCAGAATAGTTATCATGACAGGCTTGCTGTAAAAAGGAATTTAATTTGTCATTCACATATTTATACGTTGGATGCCCTATAAATGCATTCCTAAAGCTATAGTCAATCACAGTCAGGATACAAAGGGCTTCGTCTAGATGCGCGAGAATTCACAAATAGTAAAGAGCAACATACAACAATTTAATAACTGTGCACTGTTCAACATACCTTCGCTGGAGCCCGCTAAAACGAGGACTGCGAGGAAGAAGACGACGATCAGCTTCATACTCCGAGCTCCGACTTCCCTGCTGGGCCTGATTGCACAGGTTATATATATATAGTCCGCGCGGAAGTGCCTTATCACTCAGGTCTTAAGATGACCGCAGTTTGTCGGGATCAGCCATTGGCCCTACCGGAAGCCAGTAATTCAAACGATACAATTCAATCAGCTTCTTAGCATTCTTCCTAGGGAATTTTTATTCAAACCTCATACAATCCCTCCACGAGCCCTTCCTTTTGTTTTCCTAACGCGGGTGAGTTTATTACAAAGCAGTGCCCTAGGAATCGTTTTTCTCCCATGAAATAGGTAAACTGACGTTAACTTAATTATACTTACAACTGCATTCGCGCAATCCTTATCCTCTAGTTTTTTTCCGTTTAAAAGAAGTTTTCTTGGCTTCGTCACGTAACACAAATGCCTTGATTACTACAAAATGCTTTATGGAGGTGCTTCTATAATATGACTGAATCTGTTTAATAGTGAAAACTGTAATGTTAAAAATTAAGGGGACTTATGATTTAAGCTAGAATGTGACAGAACTTTTGATGAGCATCGTATGGAATGTCCCGTTAGGGCTTTTGATAAGGCGTTATGCAGGTCAGATGCACTAAAAGGAAGCGCCCTAATGATCACCTTTCCCCCGAAGTAGCTATAGACTGATTCATATCTTAGCAGCTAAAATAAGTTATTCGCTCACATGAAAGTAAGTAGGGTACCCACAGTTTATAAGTCAAACAGAAAACACAGGAACTCGAATTAGATTATTCCCATGATAAGTGACACTCAAGGTTCTTGAATTCAATGATGTGGACCATGTCGTTTCTTTTCGCACTTCTTTTGACACTTCTCCAGGGTGTCAAACCTGTTTTTGTTGCCACCGCAACCACCGTAGATGAACTTCTCAAAGCGATGTGTTTTACTGTTGTAGCCATACATTGTAATGGCAGCTTTGCACTTCCCTGGATCGATTGTCTGTTTCCAAGTACGCTTTCCTAATGGCAGAAGAGTAAAAAGAAAGCAGTCATAATGTGGACAGGTACAATTACAGTGAAGCAGGACTATGCCCATGGCTAACATTGTAATATTGTTTACCGATCCGATCGCCGACTGGCGGACACACATAACGGATATGGAGTTTTCATGCACTTTCGAAATCTTAATTGTTTTTACATGTTTACTGACGACGACCTGAGGAACTAGCATCTAACATCTACGCAATACGGTTGCCAACCCTTAGCAAGGTAATTATTTACCTTCAAATATATATGTTGCTTTTGAAACGTCAGGAGGATAAAGCAATGGTTCCCAAGATGGCAATATCTCGTCATATATGTATATAGATATATCACGACTAAGAAAGTCTCTTATATGTAAAATGTATGATTTGGAGGTGGGTGATTGGAACATGACTTTTAAGGTTCAAAACGGAGATTTCTGGGAACATTTTTGTCTTAGACAACCAAACCTTGTTACACAATGACGCAAATGCGAATTATACAAACTATTGGTCCTTCAAGTAGTATGAATTCTACATGGAAAAGATTTTATACCGAACGCCTGCATAGGTACTATCAGAAACATCGGCAAAACCCGTGTCTGGAGTGGTAGTTAGTAACTATGTGGACAACTTTGCCATATATGTCTGTATCTATTCAGACATGCCTTCACCGTTCATGCGAAGAAATATTTGTGTTGATGTTTTACTTACTGCTACTTTATCGCTTTCATATATCCATATTTAGAGAATGGCGAACTACGAAACCCAATAAAAATCCAACTTATACTTAAAACAATAAATAACCATACATAAAAAGGTAGACTATATTTTGAAATTTTTTAATTAAGGCTTGATGGTGGATGCCCAATAAATGTATTCCTAAAGCTACAGTCAATCACAATCAGGATACAAGGGGCTTTCACTAGATGAGTGACAATTCACAAATAGTATAGGGCAGCATAAATCAGTTTGATGGTTGTGCACTGTTTAACGTACCTTCACTGGAACCCACTAAAACGAGGACTGCAAGGAAGAGAACGATGATTAGCTTCATAGTCCGAACTCTGATTTCCCCGTTGGGCCTGATTACAGAGGTCATATATATAGTCCACACGGAAGGCGCTAATCACTCAGGCCTTGAGATGACCGCATTTTGACATGGTCACCCATTGGCCCTACAATAAGCCATCTATTCCAACGAAACAACTCAATTTGCTATTTGTCATTTTTCGTAGAGGACCCCTAATTGAAACATTATAAAATATCCCACGGGATCCTTCCCTTTCTTCGTAACGCAGGCCAGTTGTGCCACAATCTAGTGCCCAAGAAATTGTTTTTTTTCTCATGAAGTGACTACGTTGATGTTAATGTAATTATACTTTAATTTTTTAACCCCATGACCCAGGACAACTGTCCTTGCCAACAGTCGGAGATACAATTTTTCTGCTACCACTACACATATGTACAAATTGGGCACTCAAAGGTACTTTGTCTACATATCCCTCAATATACTGATACTGATGCTTGCAACTACGTTCACGCAATCCATATCTTCCAGTTATTTTTCAATTTTAGGAAAATCTTCTTTGTCTCGACATAGAACACATATGCGCTGTTTTTTTCGTAACACAGGTGAGTTTTACCACAACACAGTGCCCTAGGAATCGTTTTTCATACACGAAATGGGTAAACTGACGTTAACTTAATTATACTTGCAACTGCATTCCTGTAATCCTTATCGTCTTGTTTTTTTCAAATTTAGGGAAGTTTCCTTTGCCTCGTCACGCAACAAATACAGTTATGCGAGTCCTGCAAACAACTTTCATGATGATATTTAACTTGGTTGTTAAGCGTATATATGGACAGGTTATTTTGATCAACTGAATGGGTATAATAATTAGAAGGGCTTTGGTTTGGAAAACTGCCCTCTCAGTTAAAGTTATTGGGGCAAATGGGCACTCATTTTGGCTAAATCATGAGTAAGTTTATAGTAAAGAACTTCTCTATGCTATAAGGAAAGGCAGAACCAAACTTTATTCTCATATACATTTTGCTGTGGAATACTTCCATAAAAAGTAAAAAAGGGGAAATAATAATCCCTTCGAGAACTGGAAAAGTTTGTCCGAAGTTGATCAAATGGAAGTGAAGCGAAGTTTAAGGAATAGTGTTGATTTTCAGAAATACGCAGGGATAGAATTTTTAAAAATTATATTTAGATATTCTGTGAAGTTTTTTTGCAATAAATGCAGTAATAACAGTTTTGGTAGAATAGTTCCCTTTACCGCACAGCTGGCATTGCGCGTAAGCAAAGTTTCCTGTGTTATCGCGAAGAC